GACCTCCAAGATCATCAAGTCCAACCCCTGATCCAACTCCAATTACTATATCATGGCACTAAGGGCCACATCCAATCTCTGCTTAAAAACCTCCAGGGATGGTGAATCCACCACCTCTCTGGGCAGGCCGTTCCAATGCTTGATTACCCTCTCCGTAAAGAATTTCTTCCTAACATCTAACCTAAACCTCCCCTGGCAGAGCTTGAGCCCATGTCCCCTTGTCCTATTGTTGGTTGCCTGGGAGAAGAGCCCAACCCCCACCTGGCTACAACCTCCCTTCAGGTAGTTGAAGAGAGTGATGAGGTCACCTCTAAGCCTTCTCTTCTCCAGACTAAACAACCCCAGCTCCCTCAGCCTCTCCTCATAGGAGAGGCATACAGTGTTTTTTTAAATGTAAACAACTTCATAGTAGAGGTGCTGGCTCTCTAACATCTACTGAAAAAAAATTATTTCAATGGACAAACCTAAGACTTGAAGAAAGAAAAGGACCAGAAAAAAGCAGCTCCAATTATGATATAAGCAACACCACAGTGACCAACAAAAGAAGTTAGTATTACTGAAGCTTCTTTAATGCAAAAGTGTGATACTAACATAAATAATCTCAGAGGAACCAGTCTTCAGTTCTTAATAAACAAGTCACAGTTCACAGATGTGTCCTGGCCGAAGCAGACAGCTGGTGCCAGGATTCCACCTGCTGTTTGTCAAATTCCCATACTAATCTCCTAGTGTGAGACAGCGTGTTCTGGAGATACTGACATCTGTTCTTCACTTCAGAGCAGCTGGGGTTACACTATAAAGGAAAGATAAAAAGAACATCAGGGCATGCAATTATTTTTTCAGAGTTTAGGATTTGGAACCGTAGAATCATTAAGGTTGGAAAAGACGTCTGGGATCACTGAGTCCAACCTTTGACTGATCACCATCTTGTCAACCACACTAGAGCACAGACTGCCACATCCAGTTGTTTCTTGAAAATCTCCAGGGATGGTGACCCCATCATCTTCCTGAGCAATCTGTTCCAGTTCTCAACCACCCTTTCAGGGAAAGAGTTTTTCTAATATCCAAGGTGGACCTTTCCCAGTGTAGCTTGAGGCCATTTCCTCTTGTCCTCTCACTAGTGGCCAACCCCCACATGTCTACAACCTCCTGTAGGGAGTTGTAGAGAAAAAGTAGATCATCCCCAAGTCTCCTCCTCTAGACTAAAGGTCTAGACGGAAGTCCTATGAGGAGAAGCTGAAGGAGCTGGGCTTGTTTAGCCTTGAGAGACCTGCAAGTAGAGGTAAGTACAAAGCACTTAATATATAGCAGAACTTTCATTCCAGTCCCTGATTTCACTTTTTCACCAGGGGTACTCACAAAGGAGTTAGGAGAAGCAGTGCATTGATATGTTACCAAAATCCAAATGGGGGGGATTTTTTTCAGGCTGTCCATGTCTTCTTTCTCATCTGCAGACCTCTGAGACTCCCCCTGTACTACAACAGGTGCTAGGACTCCAAAAAGGAGTCTGAGAAGTATCTTTTTTTTTTCAAGTCCTCAGAGGTGCTACTGCCATTTTGGTTGAAACTGTCCAGCAGCAGTTCTTGTGTCTCCTGCTCCTCAGAGATGCAGAGGAAAAGGGAGCTGAGGGTTTGAGATGCGTTGAAAGTGGGAAGAAGTGTGGGACATAGCCTCAAGGAAGCAGGAGGAGTGGTGGCTGCAGGGCAGGGAGGTGGCAGAGGGCTGGCAGTAGCTCTCTTGCTGGAAGCAGGGCAGTAGGTTGCTGGTTGGATTCAACTGTGCAGGCAACTGATCATCTGCTTTTTGCTCGTCATATGGCAGGAAAAACTGGAATTCAGACGACAGACATTTCTTAATAATAATAAAATAACAGACAATTGTTGAAAACACATCCTTCTTGCCTAAATACAGCTGTTGAACAAGGAAGTACTGCAGCTGAATACATGGTTTCTTTCACTCCTCATTCTTATCTTAGGATTTAGCAAGTCCTTCAAGTCTACAGCTAAAAGGAAGTAAGATGCTCCCTTCAGCAGCTCTATCAAAGGCTTCCAGAAAATGAGGTGGTCAAGTTGGTTTTATTTATATCCCAATTTTGAATTTCCTATGCGCAATGTCTTCCCAAAGAGACCTTCCTGAAATTCAAATCAACATTTACAAAGTAATGAACCAGAAGATTAGGACTATAGTTCATACCCTCCCTTCTGATGAGGCAAACAGTCAAGATATTTGTCAATCAGCTAATGCAAAGAAAAGTCAAAGCCCTGATTTATATATTCCAAAGAGCTGTGATTGCTGTTTTGGCAGCTAAGAGACTTAAAGCTTTAGTCCAGTCTTCTAGTTATCTCTACACAAGGACAAATGTCTTAAAAGGAAGCATTGGAATTTGTGTAGTTTGTGTAGGAGAATCCAAACACTAGTGTAATCTTTCAGGTTCTGAAGAAGAAGAAATTGACTGCTTTTAAGCACTCAGCTAGTTTCCTAGTTCATGCTGCAATAATCAGTTCTGTCACTGAACTGTAGGATGTTGTTAACAAGCAAGATCCAAAGTCCTGGCTTTCTGGACACCTACTTGTAGGTGCAGCCAGGAACTCCTTGTAAAAACTTGCGGACAAGCTGAATGTAATAATGGAGACAGTTCAGCTAGACCACAGCAATTGCATCACTTATTTCTTGTAAGACTCCTTAATACAGAACTGTTGGAGGTGCCCCAAGGAACTCCTACGAGTGTGGAAAAGTCTCACAGAGGAGAAAATGGAAGCAGAAGTTGACTCAGAGTGCACCTATGCTGTCAAGCACAAGATATAATCATCCTAAGCACAAGAACAGTTAGATTCCAGTATTCCCTTTACTATGAAAATGTTCCACTGTTGAGAAGTTGTGATATTTGTTGATATAATAAGTTTATTATAGTTATGTATAATTCCCTCTTTGTACACATTATCTTCTCCCCTATTGGCTCAATGTAAAACCCTTTCCTATCTGTCCTTTGCTGCATTGCAGCATTACCCATAGATAGTGTTTCCCCTTTCCATATTTAAATAAATTTATCCCTATTTCCTATATTTAGTCGCTCTTCTGAATACTCCTCCCAGTCTCTGCCCCTTGTTCTAGTGAGTTCCTAGCTCTCTCTCTTATAAGCTGATGCCCCTATTCAATAAATGGCCATTTTGTGTCACACTGTGACTTGCATGCAGAGCAGTCCTTTCTGGGTCTTGCTCTTGAGGGGGTTACAGCTCTCCCCCCGTCACAGAGCCTGGCTTGTGGACTTTGTAAATTTAATGCCCAAGCCCTGGAAGCTGGATTTTGTGACAGACTATCCAAAATGAAAAACATAACATCCTTGCAGAAGCCAGTATTTAATTTATTATTGAATTTACACGAAGACTTCACACAGCAGAGGTGCAGTGCTGCTAATTGCACCTACATCTTGCAGAGTTCAAATGGAATTTCAGTGAGATGAAAAAAGTAGCTAACAAAGCCCAGAACTTGTAAGAGCAATTAAAAATGATTCAGTAAAAACTGATCACCTGTGAGAGGTTTGAAAGTGTACCTGAAGTATTAAATAATGCATTACATTGGGAGCATCAGATGCAATTGCTTTTGAATGAACAGGAGCAACAGCTAAATAAGTCAAATAGTTAGAGGCAACACTTCAAAACCAAAATAGAATTGCACTACAGTAAAGAAGCAGATAAAAGCCAAGCTTTAAGTGAATATGTAAAGGAAGACACATAAAGAGCATCTGGTTGTTGACTGGGCATGAGAGCTTCTCTCACAAAATGAATGAGAAAACAACAGTGATAAAGCATTCTATTACTCAGTCTGTCATTCAGATATCCAGACTTAAACTTCACCTTAAATTTCACTCTTCTGTGATACGTCCATGGAGGTTTTTTGTTTTATTGTCTTACTTTCTACTTTTTATCTTATTTGATTTAAAATCACAAACTTGTGCATTAAAATCTTCTCTTGGAAACAATCACTAAACAAAAAAACAAACCAAAACCCACACACACAAAACTCCTAAACCCATAACCCTCTTTCATTTGGCATAAAATATTTAAAATACCTGCATGATGCAGAAGTAGCAAAACCACAGCTGAAAGCCAGATTTAACAGATAAGGTCACAAACGAGAAGTGAAGTTTTGAGAACTATCTCAGAGGGTATGGACCTTTTTGTCTCTTGCAATTGAAACTTCCATCTGTACCTAGAAGGATGTATCCCTGACATCCTGATAGATGTGTGCTGTAAGACAAGGCCTTGAGAGGCTCAGGATACCATGTTTAATGCCAAGAAAGAGGGAAATCATCTGCATTTTAAGTGTGCCGACAGAGAGACTTTAAAAGAGGCTTTAAAAATCAACTAAAGAATGTACAGCCATGCTGGGAGGAAGAGAAAGTACTTTTCTAGGACACTGCAGGGTGGATTTTATTCAGTCTCTTGTGCTGTTGTTGTTTGACATAATTTATGCTCACTGGGGCTTGATATCTCTCGATTTGAGATGTTTCACAGGAACCTTTCCCTTTGTGCAGTGAAGTAAGAAAGAAAGTGGTAACTTTGCTACCTGTCTCCCCCATGAACGGAAAGGAGCTACTGAAGAGAATCCCGTGCTACAGAGAACACCCTGCTGTGAATTTTGTCCCCCAGTAGTCCCAAAATCTTTCAGCGATGAGTGTCTCTCCATTACTCGGGTGAAGAGTGCGCTGCCCTGAGGTCACCCATAGCTCCGTATGGCTTTCCTGTCAGCCCGTCGTTTTAATCTCCCGCGCGTTGGGAACGCCTCATCCCTCAAACGCTGCTGGGATGGCGCAGCGAGCGCTGGAAGGGCGATGGGACCAGCGCCGTCGCCGGCGGCAGCCGCTGTTGATGCGGTAATTCCACCCGGGAGCGTCCCCGGCAACCGCGGAATTCCAGCGTGTTGGGCTCGTGTCCGTCCCGTTCCGGGCTCGACGTTCGGTTCCGCGAGCGGCAGAACTCCAGAGGTCCCGAGAGCGGCGGCTTTCCGGGAGTCCCGACTCGTAATGCGAGCGGAGGGGCGCCGTCCGGATCGTGCCCCGCCGCCGCAGCTGAGCATCAGGTGAGCTTCACTGCAGGTGAGTCAGTTCAGCCAGGCTTTGCATGATTAAAGTCAGTGCGTCCAAAGGTAGCTGTTAGGTTTATTTTCAAGCGGCCTCTATCATAGAATGGTTTCGGTGGGACCCTCAACGATGGCATAATTTTACTTAAGTGAATGTTTAGAACATGGGGCCACAACTGGGTAACTGAAGTAAAAGAGCATTAAAACTTCAAGGGACTACTCATTTTTTTTTTCAAAAACTTTAATATTTTTCAGCTTACACTAGAGGCACAGAATAGAAATCCATCAGACATGGACACTATGGATGATCTAAAAAGGAAACTCCATCAAACTGAAAAAGAAAATGTTGAATTAATTACTGAATTCAAGAAAGAAGTAAGGACTTTATTTACTTTATTTTATGCTTGGAATAAATATAATTGGTTTCATTAAAATAATACTCTCAAGGGTTGAATCAAAAACATGGTCACTAGTTGGAAAATTACAAGGACATAGCACTGTACAGACTTCTCATACCTTCACAGGAGTTGTTAGCACCTATACTATCACTGTTTATAGTTAAAAGTGTGTGTAAGTAACTTGAGCACTTCACAACAGCAAAATGATACAGAAGCATCTTGTGCACCCTCAGCTTTCAAATTCTTGATGTAAGAGGTGTTCGGTTTGTTTGTTGGAGTGTTTTAATCCAGATAATTTCAGGGATCCAATTTACAAAATCACTCCATGTTTCTCGGGACAATGGAAGCAGGAAAGAGCAAGTCATTGTAGGAGAAGCAGGAATCTCTTAATTTGGGTACACACTCCAATAATAAATGGATATGGAACATTAAATTGGGTTTATTGGCTGGATTTAACCAAAAACAGATGAATGAACACTCACATCATCTGTCCCCTAACAAACTGCTGAGAGCAGAATGATTACCTATAGTAGTAACAATACTTCAGCAGCACAGTTTAAAACAGGATATCAGCTGCCAGTTTGGCACTGGCAGGTGTGAAAAGTCTGCCAAGTAGCAACAAACTTTAAGCTGATTGCAACTAGTATTCTACTCAGTGCTCACCTTTTCTGGTATTTTCTAGTGTGAAAGCTGATATTCAAACCAAAGAAAATATCGGTGAAGCATTTTCTTACTGCTACTGCATTTCAATACTAGTTTGCTCTGACAGCAGCAGGGAAAACCTTTGTAACAGGGGTAAATTATTTTCCATGAATTAAGTTCCCTTTAATAAGTATGTTGCTCCTTTGTAGATATTCTGAAGAAATACGTTTCACTTTCCACCTTCTTGTGTTGAAATAGCTTGAATTTAATTTTTCTGGATCCAGTTTTTGGCAGTCGTGACTAGACTATCTTTCTTAGTCCTTTTTGAAGCAATTTCCATTCTTTCTTTGTTTAATATCATTCTGTTTGACAAAGAATATTATTGAACTGAAGTTTATGTTCTTACATAGTGAGCAACTAGGTGTCTGATACCCCAGTATCCTGAAATAACTATATTTTTAAGTGTTAAATAAAGTTACCAGAAAACTACCTTTGAATATAGTGTTTCTGTTGCCATATTTTCCCCTCTGAAATCCCAGAAGATAATAGTATTATAACTTTTATTTTCTTAAGGTCATGTATTTTTGGAAAAACAGAGGGGTATGTTAAAGGTAAATGAAATTAACCTAGGAATTTGATGAGTTTGCATAAACCCCTCCTGAAAATATTAAAAAGTACATAAATGTGCATTTGCAAGACTATATTTCAAATTCAAATGGAATAAGATGGCTGCTGTGAATACAACCCAACATATCTTTAAAAAATACTCTGTAGGTGTATTTCTGTAACATGTTGCACTTTGTTGCCAGTTTTCCGGTACAAATTTATTTTCCAGAAGTCACAGTATGAAAAAGAGATAATTAAATTGCGTTTGGAACTTGAAAGAGGGGAAGCTCTTCGTCGAGGTTTGGAGAATGAATTGTCAGTGGCCAGAGAAGAGGCTCAGATGCAAATGTATGCTGCAGAAGAGGAGCTGTGTGTTGCAAAAAGTGAACTTATGGAACTGCAAGGTAAGTTCCAAGAAAGCAAAGATGAACCAGAGGCTAGGTCAGCCCCAAGCTGGTAAAACAAATTTTCTAGCTCCTGCTGTTTTTCTTGAATCTCCCACATCTTATCCATCTGCATTTGTAAATTCATAAGGGTTTACAAAACTCTTGTTGCCTCGTGTGAATTAAATAAGACCTGCTAAATACGTCAGCTCGTTTTATCTCTTGTCCCTTACCTTCTGTTATTTCTTCCTTCAGTGCTGTCTGTTTACAAACTTGTCATCACAATGTCCATCTCCACATCCTGCATATCACTATGTCCAGAAATTCTTCCTTTTCTATTTCAGGAGGAAAAAAATATTACGACTACTACTACTACTACTAAAAAAATCCAGTTCTATTCTTTTTTCTCCTCACTATTTCCAACAACTTTTTTCCCCAAGAGTTCTCATCATACTGCTTCTTTCTTTTGTCTTTTCCAGTGCTTCTAGCTTTTTGTTGCTCATGTCTGGTTTCCATTTATCATCTTTGTTATTTACTGTCGTGACAGTAGTATGTGAAAAGGAAGGGTTTTACCTAAACATTTTTTCCCTACTAGTTTAGCATTCAGAAACTGAGATTTTCTTAATCCTTCTCAAACAGAGAGATTTTCCATTCTTACAAGTCAGTGAGGTGCATTTTTAGTTACCTAAGTAAGTACAATGCATTTTAAATTTAGTATAGGAGATGCATTTGTGAGTTTGCTGAACCTTTGATGTTCTGAACAGATTGGAGCAGTAAGTGTGTATTTTAAAGTACTTTAAATCTGAGTTTGTGATTCACTTTATGATTTGGAAAACTGATTTACTGCTGCATAAGGTACAAATGGCAGGTGTCTGTGGGGGGTGTAGGTCTGCAGGGCAACCTATGCAGAAGGATAAAGGGCTGGATCTGCATGAGACTGGTTCTGGTCAGCTCCACGGTATCAAAACTCACTCACCACTGTGCACCAAACTGCCCACCAGAGTGTGCACAGAGCCTGTGCAAAGAGTAGCAAATGCCAAGGGAAAGACGAGAAAAGAAACAGCATGAGAGACGGGCAGAGCAATTGCCTGATCAGTGACTGCTCATGCAGGCACCAAGAGGCAGGTCTCAGAAGGGTCTGATGATGATGGAGGAACAACAGCGCAGTGACCCCAGTGTGCTGGGCTGTCTGTCACCTCTCTGAAGGAACTATGCTATAAGGGTGTGTTGAGGGGACTGGAGAACAAAAAGGGAGTAGGAGAGGTTTTGCAGAGGTAAGGGAGTGTTTCTTGAATACATGTGTTTCTCTCAATACCAGTAATAAGAAGTCTGCTAAGTTAAAGATTACATTGGTAAATTTTCTCAAACAATTTTTTTTTTTATTATGACAAATTCCAAAGAAGCCAAATCATCAGTTGTTGCTTCTCAGTTCTTTTTCAGAGTATAACTTACTGCTTCTTTCCCCCTGATCTCTTGGAGCCTTCTTCACCTTGTGTGATACTCTGATGTGATCCCAACTTAGCTTCTTAGAGCACTCATTTGGGCCTTGTCCTCTTCAGGTTTTCTTCTGAATTGTTTTTCTGCCAATCTCACAGAGATTTGACTTTCTGCTACCTGACAGTCCTTTCCCATCGCTTTGTCCACTAATTCTCTGTGTTATCTTAATATGTCTTTTCTGTTTATCTTTCTCAAGCTAGAAAGAAGTTTCAGAAAAATGGGATGAATTTGAAATAAAAATCTGTTAGAAAGGGGTGATCATTTAAATGTTAATGTAGCTAGTTTTACCCAGAAAAATGAAAATATAATACGAAATATTTTCATCCAAAATCCAGTTTGTGAGGTTTAGGGAAGTTCCAGGTAAAACTGCTTACAGGTAAGGAAGTTTTCCTTGGCATTTAAGTTTTCAAAGAAGAGTATGTTTAGTATTTCCCTATCTTGGGGCACTTACTGGGTTGAAGATTTAAATATCCCAAGCATCAGTAAGTTTCCTTGGAAAACCTAAGCCTTTACTCACTAGCCCAACCTGCCTTAGGTTTTCCTACATTTTTTTTCATGAGGCAGATGTCTGTTTTTACTGTCACTTAAACGGAGCTCAAAGTTAATTGATGCAGACTAATATCTATATCAAATAGACATTTGGATATAAGCTGTCAAAATGTTGAAGAAATCTGAAATTAAGTTCTCCAGGGTATAGAGGCCTCACTTGGAAGAGTTAACTCAAGTTTTTACTCTTTTCCAAGAGGAGAAGGATTTCAATTCGTAAAAGTCACCAAACCAGCCCTGTGTCTGGTGATATAGATGTGTGAAAGATGCTATAGAAACACAAAATGCAATTGTTTCTTTATAGCGAAGGTCATGCTCTCCAGTTCTGGAAGTGTTAATGTCCAGTCTTCCACAGGATATCAAAATACATGAAAGAACTGATGATAATTTTCCATTTTTTTTCTGAACAAGTGCTAATTGTCTTTTATTCTTTCTCTTTCTCTGTAAACAATAGCACTCAGTGGCAAAAATCAGCAGAAAATGGCAGAGGCTGAGAAATCTTTTCGTAAGGCTCAGCAGAAGTGGGAAGAAGAACACCAAAAATGTGCAAAGGAGAAGGACGATATCCGTGGAGTTTACCACCATGAAATTCTATTCCTCGTCAAAAAAAAAAGTGAAGCAGAAAGGGCTGCTCAGGTATGATGTGCTAATAGTTGAAAAGTTACATGAAATAGTAGCTGGAACTTTTTTGGTGCAAAGTATGGGATCTTTCTGATTAAGGGAAAAAAAATCCCCCAAATAAATAAGTACTGCAGAATAGTTCTGAAGAACACTAAGGTTACACTTACTGTATCATAGTATTTCTTGCTTTGCTGAAATGTGTTGTGGCTGTTTGCCATGGTAAACACCTAAACAAAGTTATTAGTGCTCAGTGGTAGTGTTAGGGAAAAACATAGGGTGCCCTCCAAAGGAAAATGTGATTCATTGCTAAGTGTCAGCCCCCAACCTGCTTTCCATAGTAAAAACATCCAATTTTTCCACTTTGCTTTTGCTTCCCTTCCCATCACTCTACTTATAGTTATCTACAGTGTTGCCTTAAGAGACCAAAGAGAAAAAGACTCCAGGACAATTTAGTATAGGAGATAGGATAAAGAGAGCTGGTCCTTTAATGAATCCTTAGGCCTGGAGAAATATATCTCTTGTGCCCCCCAGACAGGGGTTCTATGATTTTATAATAAGGTCCATCGAATCCCAGGTTTATCCAGCTCTGGTTCTGCCCCATTCTGCCCCCTCACATGGCCCTTCAGGAATTGGGTTTGGGGTCTTTGGGACACCTTCTTCCTCATCTTCATCGTCTTCACAGCACATACACTCCTTGGAGTTCTTCCAAAGTTCTGGGCTTGAAGGTTGTTGTGTCTGTGTGATATCTTCTGGTCCAGGCCTTAGTGTGTTTTTCTACAATTCTACCTTGAAAAGAAGAATAAACACACTAATGGAATTTAGAGGGATTAATATGGAATGGGGTAGTAGGGTTGGGTATGTGTAAACACTGTGTTAAGGGTAAGGGATCTAATACAGCTACATTACAATCTAACATTCACTACACAAATACTTCTAGAATCTACAAAAGTTAAAAAACCAAAAAGCTCTGAGGCATCAACAGTAACAAAATCCCAGGAAATAAAATATACACACAGAAATGTTAAACTGGACTTGACTGCATTAGTTGTTGCTTAATTATTTTAAACTTGGCAGATAAATATCAGAATTATCTGGGCTTATAAATTACTACTTTGAATGTGTTCTAGTCTTTTGTGTTGTGTATTTAAGGCCTGATTTAAATCTCCTTTAGTTGTTCTGGGTTATGAAATAAAAGCTAGAGAAAGTAGATTTAATTGTGGTCTTGATATGTACAGAGAAACGGGATTATAAGCATGTATGAAAATCCTGGTTGGAAAAGCTGCACTTCATAAGCTGTAATTAAAGTTAACCTGTTAAAATGTCTGTATTTAAAGTTAACCAATTAAAATGTGTCCCTAAAACACCTTTCTCAAACTAGGAAATATTTAATATTTCACATACTGGAAAAGTAGTACTCTCTGCTTTCAGACGGGTTCGTGGTGGGCTCTGTCGGGTGTGCTTAGCTCACCCTCAGGTACGGGATTAAAGATGTTGGAGTTCGATAGTAAGGGCAATAGCATCACCTTGTGGCTAGGCAGAATATAATATTTCTTCACGGAAGCATTCAGTTTTTCCTTAAAATGCCTGGGAAATTTTGGGTTTACACATAGGTTTTTGTTGGCGTTGTGGGGTTTTTTTGTTTGTTTGGGGTTTTAATTGTTTGTTTGTGTTTTTTTTTTTTTTTTTTTTTTTTTTTTTTTTTTTTTTTTTTAAAAAAAAAAAAAAAGAAAAAAAGAGAGTTGTGTTTTTCATGAGCAGATGTGTGCAGGTGACTACTGGGAGAACCTTACACAGTCATACCATGTCTGAAAAGTCCAGGTTTAGTTTGCTAATGTTAATTATATTTCTAGCAGAAATGTTTTTCAGCCTTGGGTATTTTGATTCTTTTACAGCAAACTATGTATTACTCACTTCACTTTTCCCAGCTCATTCTTGTTAATTTCTAGAAGATAAGCATGAAGCAATAAATATTTCTATGTCTTTCCAGTTTGGAGAGAGGGGAAGTAGTTATATATTTATGTAAAAATGATTAAAATATTTTGCATGGTGGGAAGAAAACTGTTCACTGTTTTACTATACAGGCAAAGCTAGAGGACTGACTTAAACTTAGTCTGTATGGTATAGACATTTCATCACAGTGATGAAATGTCGCTATGTATAATTTCATCAAATGCACTTAACATCATTATCATTATCAAATGAACTTAACATCATTATCTGATGGTGAACAAAGAGCATGTCTGACATTGATTAAACAGTTCTAATGACATGTGCTAATGTCTTAGATTTAAACAAGCTGTCCTGATGCAGTTTCCACCTCTCTTTTGAAGTCTCTGCTACACTACCTTTCTTAGAAAAACTAAAACTGTCTCTTAATGCCTTACTATTATTTTTGTTTGTTTGGTTGGTTTGGTTTTCTTTTTTTTAGGACCTGAATGATGAACTGCAAAATATGTACAGGAAACTGAGGGATGTGGAGGCAGAACACGATGGCTGCAGTGACATGCTGAAGCGTCAGGCTTTTGAGCTGAAATTCAGAGCTGACCGACACCAGCAACTCATGAGAGAGCTTGAAGTAAGGCTTTGTCACCACCGCTATCAGTCTCAGCAAGCACTAGTACCTTGAACAACTTCATTTCTTGAGGGCTGGATGGTGGCATTTCTTCATAGGTAGATGCTATTGACACTATGAATTTGACTTGAGACTGGTGTTTGAACAGCAGATGTGAAAAGTATTTTCACCTATAAAGTGTGGAAGTAGTGTTATTGCAGGATTTGTGAATTTGTACTGTTGGGAGGGTTAAGCTGATAACACCTGTGGGACGAGGCAAAGTTTAAGCCTTTTGACAGGTCTTGCTGTGGAGTAGGTTTGGTAAGCTTTGTGCTGATTTTGATTTTCTCATAAGTGGGATTTCCATGGATGTCTGTTTTCAGTCTTTCCTTTTGAATGCATGTCTGAGATTATATAAAATTTAAATGTATTGCCAAGAGTTTTTATTTTAATGTCTGTTAATGTTTCTCTCACTTAAGTGCTTCTAATCAAGCTGTAGTCTCACATCCTTGCTACTGTGTTTTACTTTTCCAAAATCAATGACTTCACTTGTATTTATGTAACCTTAAATGTGCTCTTGTTAAACAACGTTTAATATTAACGTCTTTTTCTTAATTTCTGTGATGTCACTTGAAACCAAGAGTCATTTTGGGGTGAATTTTTCTTTTCAATTCAGTCATAAGTCAAAGTGAAAAGATTTTGTTGGGTAGAAAATGGTATACTTAAAACTGCATATGAATTTCCATTATAGCAGTTCTGTAATTACTGCTTTTGCTAAAAATATTTTTCCAAATGAAATTCTGTGCCCAGGCCTTTATCTGGACATGCGTATGTGGTGATTGCTTTTGTGTTCATTGTAACTTGAAAGAATTTTTTTCAGCTTGGAGAACTATTTGTCATGTAGACAAATTCTTGAACTTTTTATGGGCAATCCAAATTTCCAAGTACATTCTTAGCATAGTCATTATGCTTTTCTAGATGTTGTAAGAATGGATAAGAAAGATGTAACAGTTTACTTCAGAAAATCCCATTTTGCTTAAACTATGTACGCACCTACAGGTTTATGTATATCTGTATACTTTCCAAATATACTTTTAGGAAGCTTCAAAAAGAACTAGAAAACTGGAAGGAGACACTAAAGCAGCAAGAGAAACTCATTTAGAATTGAAGTACACTACACAGATCATGCAGGTAAACTTTTTATGAAATATTTTGTAGAAGTTTACAGGAAAACTGTTGTCGAAGTTGTAAAGATACAATCTTCCAAAAATGTTAAGACCACTTACTTGCTTCAGTGAAAACACTGAGTAGATTTTTTGCAACAAGTGTCAAAATTTTAATAACTAATAGGTGAAAGTAGAGAATAGAAAAATGTCTCCTTTCAGGGAACTTTAAAGTTACTAAAATAAGTAGAAAAAAAAAAATAAAAGGTCACATTTGTATGTCTGATAATTCTCAGCAGCATATATTTCAGTGAGGGGAAAGGAAGTGTTTCTGAATAGTTAAACACTATATTGTTGTTCAGATATCCTGCCCTGTGTCTTTTAAATGGGCACTTAGAGCAATTTGGAGATACAACCAACTTCTCTAGGACTGAGAGTTTAATACATACTGAAACTCAGTTCCAAATATAATTTTTCAGGGTACATTTCAGCATTAAAGCCATGATATCAGCAGTTACTAGTAAAGTTTGAGTATAAGAAAAAATATAGTATATATACCTGAATATTAACTTTTTGTATTCTTAAACTGTATCCCACAGGGTTTCACCCAGTAAAGCAATTAGGGTTTATTTAAAAAAAAAAATTGCTTGCTAATTTCATACTAACTAACAGGCATTTTGTGCTGGATTTTTTAAAAACTAATCAACAACAAAAAAAGGTAATCTCAGTTGATTTTTTTCCCCTTTTTTTCTGAGGAACAAAAATAAATATTGCAGTTCTTCAGTCAGTTATTTTCTTATTCTTATGGCCTTCTCTATGTACAGGCACTTAAATTTTTGAAATTATGATTAAACAAGTAGAAATAATTTAGTTTTCTTACTTTCCTCTCTACTTTTGCAACCTACAAAGGAACTGGGATGGTAACATTCTTTGAAGTTAGAGACTTATCTTTATAAGTGCATGGCTGGTAAGGTTTTTTTCCTTGTTTATATACATTAACAAGTTCCACGTGTGCTTTGTTCTGAGTGGAAATTTAGCCTTTATTGTTAATCCCACACTTTCATGGGTCTATTTTAAAAATAGAATTCCTCCAGAACACTTCAGTAATATTAATAACTGAAAACAGGAAAATCCAGACACTCCCAAAGGAGAACAAAAGGTGCTTTTGTTCAGGACATCTATTTGTCTGGCTTGAACTGTATGAATTAATACATGTGTATTAATGCATGTGTTCAATGCTTTTTGTGTGTATACTTTCATACAGAATATACATTCCTGTAAAGCAGAACAGAACAGAGAACAGCACTGAAGACCTTAGTTATTCCTAACTTGCTTTAAATTGTTTTCTTATCACTTGGTAGTTAAGAATTCAAGAACTCGAAGAAGCTTTGAATTCAGAAAAGGGCAACTCAGCAGAAGCTCTTTCAGTGTTACAAAATATGAAGAGAGATTTCAGAGAGCCAGCAAACGCACATGAGAGAGATCAAAATGTGTAAGTTTTCCTCTAAAGCTATTGTAAAACGGCAGTAGACAGCTTGAGTGTTGCTTACAGTTTACATTCCCTATTATTTCATTCAGTAGAAAACAACACAATCTAATGCAATTTCCCAAATCAAGGCAAAGATTCAGAACCTGGCAATCCATTAATAACAGGTCTGTACCAGTAACTGTAGGTATTGAATGGATAGAGATAATAACTGATCCATTACAGGTTACTTACCAAAGGAAAAATGCTGAAAATAATTATGATGGGGTCCAGTGGTGTTTGGGAGGAGTGTAGGAAAACATATCTGTAAGGTTTAGAAGAGATAGGTTTTCTGTATCCACTTGTATTATTCTGAAAACATTGTTTTCCACTTCACTGAGCTACATGAATATCTAAGGATCCTGTCAAGAAGTTGTGTATCATTTATAGTGGGTAATATACTTCTCAGCTTTTGAATAAGTGTAGAAATCTTTAATTGGTAAAAGAAAAAAAAAATTAGAAAAGGGGATCAAGTGTGAGAAAGCAGATGAAATTACTTGGGATACCTTTCCTGCTCAGCATAATCTGCTGTGTCTGTGGTAAGAGACGATTTTTGGAACTTGGGTATATATAGGATGCACAGTACTGAGTCTTCTTCATTGGCTGAATCGATTATATATTGGGGGGAGAAAACATCATAAAGAAGAATGGTATTAGAAGGCAGAGAACTGAGTAGGTTCTCTGAGTAGGTTTGAAATAGATGATGGTAGTTGGTGAAATTTAGGGAAAGAGGAAGTTTAAGAAGATTAAAAGTGAGTGGTGCACAGTGGGGATATGGAAAGAGACTCAGGGTAGTAGAAAGTGTTAGAAAACACAGACTTGGCCTCTCTTTCAGTCTAGGATTATATGGGTCAGTATACATAGTTATTTATGTTGACTTACCCATACAAAGAGTAGAGGAGAACTGAAGAAACTGGTTTTCCTACAGAGGGAAGTTTGTGGCCTGAGTAATTCCAGATTCATGTTTATGTAGATGTTTTTAGTAAGATAGTTCAAACATGAGCTATGTCATAAGCACCTTAGAGCTCTTTATTAAAATAAGGCCAGAAGAATTTTGCATATGAAATTGTGCATTTAGGTAAACATTTAGAGTCACATAAAAAAAATAAAGATTTTTTCCCCTCTCAAAGGAAAGGAAATAGTTTTTATGATAAAAATTTGTGAAAATGTTTAAAATACACTGTGGTAGGAATCTAAGGTGGTGCTTCAGGAAGACTGGGATCTTCACAGCAGGGAAACTGAAACAGTGTATTTCAAGATTCCCTATGGTAATAAAATAAGATCAGTTAGTTAAACTGTAATCTCACTCTGTCCAGTTGTTTTTCCTTTGAGTAAGACTTCCATGGCAGCAACATAGGCAACTCTAAACTAATACCACGTTATTTGGTTTTTCATTGAACTGGACAAGACCTGTACCATTGATTTGACGTTTTATTAGGTTTTTGTTGTTTTGTTTTTAAAAAGCGCCTTTCTGTTCAAAACAACCTGGTTTGGGGGAATGATTGTTGGATCAGGAGTTTTGCATAACAATCTACTCTGCACTTTATGAACTTTTAAAAAATGTTAATTGGATATGAAAATAATTTTTTTCTAATATCCAAACACTATTTATCATTAATTGCAATAATCTGTTGCTTTAGGCAATTAATCCTGGGAACTTCTGCCAACTGAGTTTTTTAAAGCAAATTATCTTCTCTGATTTCAGAGAATGCAAACCCTACCATGAAAGTTAGCACAGTTAAGTTTTGGTGGTTTTATTAACAGAGCTCGAGGAAACAGAAACAGCTTATCCTTATAGTTTTATTAGTCTGGACACCAAAATTTCCAGAGCGCAACAAAGATAGCTAGTGAAGATCAAGCTTTTTCGGAGATGGACATCAATATACTCAGTTTCCTTGAGGGAATTATGTGGGGTACTGCCTCTGTTTCCTGTGCTCTTTTTCATCTTTGAAACGTAGAAATATCGGTAACATTGGTGAATATCAGTGATTGTTTTCACTAGACACCTTCAGAAACAGTACAAGAGCCTGTGATCCATTTACCCATGAAGGCTGTGGTCCTTGTACTCCAGAGAGGGTCAAGATCTTGGCTTTTTTTTCTAAGCCATAGTTTGGCACCCTAATATATTTTCTCTTTTTCTAGAAGAGTCACCTGAGTTTGTCTTTAAGCCTTTGTCTAAAGAACCTCCAAGAATTCTTTGTTCCGTAAAGATTGTTTCTTGACATTCACAGGACTGAAGTGAACTGGTCTATAGTTCCCTGGTTTCTCCTTTTGCCCTTTTCCAAATACAGTTGTGACATTTGCCTTTCCCAATTTGCCAGGGATCTGCCCCAGTTTTTGTGACCTTTCACAATGATAATGGGAAACCTTGCTGTGCTGTGGTCCAGGTTTGTCAGAGCCTTTGAGTGTAGGTGAGCTGGCCTCTTCAATTTCTATGGGTTGAGTCCTTAGAAGTTATCCCAGACTCAATGCTCACCTATTCCTAGCAATTTTTCTCCTTTCTGAGCCCTTTTTCCTGATCATAGATGCTAGAGACCTTGTCAGAGAAGACTGAGACAAAAAAGACATGAAATTTGGTGACCTTCTTTCTACCTGCTGTTGATAAATTGGTTGCTTTGTGTAGAAGCCAGTCCATGTTTTCTATTTATTATATGTAATTTAGAGGCTGTATCCAAATACTCAGTTGAATTAATAACTGCAAATCTATCACAAGGCTTGGTAAGTGAGAAGAACAAAACCACTTCTTGAAAAGTCTTTTTTAGAGGGAATATATGTTTCTTCACTTAGTTAAAAAAGGCAAGCAACTTCAGGAACCATAAGATGTGCTAATGTGATGTGCCATATCCACTGATTATTTTTTAGAAGTATTTTTTTATTTTTATTTTATTTTATATATTATTTTTTTATTATTATTTTTTTAAAGTACACAGGACAAAAGTAATTTTGATAAAAATGTTCTAATGTGGAACCTTTCCAGATTACAAAGGGAACATTTCTCCTCAAGCAAGCAACTGAAAGAGATGACTGAGAAAAAGAAGGAAACCAGAGAAATCTCTGGAAAACTAGAACTTACCAAAAGCAGCTCTGGAATGTTAATGGAGGAAGGTCAAATGGTAAGACAAAAAGCCTGTTCCACTCACTGTTTGGGCTTTTTTATACTGTGAGAATAATCTACATTTGCTATGCTGTTTTTTTTTTTTTTTTTTGAAAACCTGAGTAAATATAGCTAATACCTTGGAGAAGCTAAGATGCATTTTAAGTGATATGCCATGTATTTAGCTGAAGAGTTATTCGCAGAAAACAGTTATTTTAAAAGTATGGATATGAGTAAATTGTAGTAAATCAAGAAAGCATTTCGTAGATATGGATTACGATTTCTTGTGAAGAATATTCTATCTTTCTACCCAAACTTTTTTGTCAAGTTTTATTACCTACCATTGTAGATTTGTTTATTTCTATTTCATTTAACTTTTTTGTTTTTCCCTTTCCCTTATTTTGGTGTGGATTTGGCATGTTGAATGTACTTTACTGGATTATTTTCTGATATCTTTCTCCTCTTATATGACCAGTTAGGACCTTCCCACTGTCTCTACCCAACTCAACTTTGAAAACCAGTTTTGCTATCCTGTTGAAGCCACTCAATTGAGGCAGTCTTTGAGGCAGTCTTTGAAAAACAAAAGGTTAACTCAAACACAAAAGTGTGGAAGTAGTTCCAAAACCCTAGCATTAGGAAACCACAGAAGTAATAAATTGTCTGAGGAATAGAACATTTTGACAAGATAGAACATTTAAAGCATAAAACAAAAAGATAACAACATCAGCAAATCTTAGAACGGGCCAAAAGTCAACCTGACCCTACTACAGTTGCCAACTATCCAAATTAGGGAAAGATCTGAGGAAAGTTCAAAAGTATACAATGAGGAAGATCTGTGAACGACCACTGCCCATGATGAAGGCTACAGGAACTCCCACCTCTAAACCTCCCAAAATTGAAGACTCCGCCTATATATGGATATTACAAGTAGATGTTGCAATTTAATGAATATGCATGTTTTATGATGTAACGTTATGCTCAGAACTGTATAAAAAAGCTGTGCTGGTTGTACACGACAGAGTTCTTTGTCCAGGACAACCTGGGAACTCTCCAACGCGTTGCATTAAAATACCTCCTGCTTTAAAGAAACAAATTTTATCTCTAAAGCAGTCTCTCTGTGCTTTTTGGGGGCAAAAATTCGGCTTCACTGTTGCATAGCAGCAGGAGCAAAGGAAAGGTCTCAGCATATCTAGAAAAATCTTCTCTCCTTTTGTTGTGTGGTAGCATTTGCAGTATTTCTATACTTAGCAATGTAAACTTTGTTTTGGTACTGGCTTGCAAATTTCTCCTTCCTCTCTCTCTTGGAGTTCTGGGTGTGGAAGTGTGCTGGTTTAAAGGCAAATTGTCATAAGGAGTGAACCCAACTCAAAGGGATTATGAGTCAGAATTACAATTTAATAAAAATAATACAATAAGTACAATTATACAGATGAATAATTGGTGTTAACCACAAAAACTCAGATGTATAATCCAGCACCCTGGGGCATGAACAGAATGGTGTTCGCTGGCCCCCATCCTGAGCCCCACGTGGGCCCCCTGAGTCCCAGCATAAAAGGAAAGGAAGAACCTGTTGGTGTGAGTGATGGTCTCAGTCCAATCAAGAGCGGTGGTTGCAGTCTGGTCGAGGTTCTGGTCCTCGTCTGGATCCCATGAGTGGTACCAGAAGTCCCAAGACCCCAAGGTTATATACCCTCAGGTTCAGGCAGGAATGACCAGCACCTCCCCTAGGGCGGGGAGTTCCACAAGGGGTAATTCCACACTTGAGTTGTAGGTGTGAGGACAGGAACATCCTCCTTTCTCACAGGCCTCTTAACACCCAGCTTATAGCCTGAGGGGTCAGGTGTGCTCTGGGCAGCTGCTGCAAATGGCCTATTGTTAACAGTTTGTGGAAAATGACATAGAGAGTGTAGAATACACAGTTTGGGTTACTATTTATTTTAGTAAATATGTATTTACAAAAAGTATGAAGGCTGGAATTTCTGCTGCATGCTATTGTTGATGTTTATGTATAACTTGCACCAATTTATTATAATACTTACTAAAATCAGTGTAAATGAATGGGACATGGCTGATGGGATTCAACCGATGAATCCATAAGCCTATTTTGGTGAGTTATTTAGTCATATGTAATCAAAGAAAAAGCATTTTTTAAAAGACTTGAGAGTGACAGTGTGTTGTGCTGCCAGGCCAATCAGACAATTTTCTACTTGTGGGTGTCGGAAGTGGGTACAGTTTGAATGTACCTGTAAGTATTAACATGGATGAATTAACTGCATCTACTGATAGCATGGAGGTTTTTGTCTGTACCAGGTCATGGCTGTGACTCCTGCAGGACTGGGCTTTGTTTAAATACTTTCTTTATATACTAATTTTTTACAAAATTTGTCTAATTAGACAGTTTTCTTACTCTGGCTTCAATATGTATGACTGCAAACATTAACAAGGAAACATTAGCAAGGAAACATTAACAAGGAACTGAGGAATTTTGTAAAGGTTTGAGAATGAGCTTTGTGGGCTTTGTTTTCAGTTGCATGCAGCTCCTATTGGAGCTCCTAATGGATCTCTTTTGTTTCTAACATTGCTCAGATTCAACGATTAATTTTTTCTGTTTGTTTCAGGAGGAAATGCATGTCCTCCGTAGCTTATACCAGCATCTGGCAGAAAGTTATGTGCTTACAAAGCAACCAGAAGTTCCCATAGACAGTTTGTCTTGGACAGAGCTTTGTGTCCTCTTGTATGAAAATATTGATACCCTGGTCTTAGACTTCAGGAGGGCTAAAGACAAGGTAAGTGTCCTTAGGCATCAGCTACCTCTGTTAAATTCAGTAACATTTGTCCACATCACAGTCTCATTAAAAAAGAGTCTCATCTTCTTTCAAAAAGCATTTGGACATTAATAATTGAATTTCATAAATTAAGGCTTTTCTGCAGCTCAGTTTGATGACTGAAGTCTGTATGAAGTCTCTAAGCTCCACTTTTTGTGCAGGACACTCTGATAGCTCTATCCAGTATTAGCCACGGGGACATAATTTAGAAAAAATTAAATTAATCTTACTGATGAAAAAACAATTCGAGGAACTTAGTTATTTACAGTCTTAAAGCAAGTCTTTATTTTTCCATAATTCAGAAGCAAAATACACTTACCCCAGGATTACTGTATTTAAATAATGTGTTTATGATTCAGACATACTATTTGAAAGAATGCCAGTATGGGGTTTTTTTTGTTTAATTGTAAATTCTGGGTTATTACATCTGTGTTCAGAAACATGGTAGGAAATACCTATTTTTATAAAACATGCCAATATTTGTTTAAGGGAGATGCTGTAGTTCTCTTAAGTGATTTTAGTGAAAATGAGCTTATGTGGCCTTTCCCTCCAGAAATCCCTGCATTTTTAGGACTTACTTTAAGTCAACTGGCTCTATATGCCACTCTATTTTTGGATTTCAGTGTGTGTTCTGGCTCCATCCATCAGCCCAGTCCTGCAGTCTAGTAGAATGATTCCAGGACTTAGCACCCAGATATTTAGTTCCATAAGCATAGGAAGGGAAAAGCTTTTTTAGATATTTCTCATCCTCTGGAATTATGACCACTTCTCTGGCCTGAGCATAGGACAGAGCTGTGATTACACTGAATTGCTTTAAATCTGCCCGTCGTTTAATAGATACCCCAACAGTCAGTGAAAATTACTAAGGAGGGGTAGTATAAAATCTGGATTATGCAGATTTGACGTATACTTCTATTTCCCTTTTGAAGTAGAGGAATAAAGGCAAGGGAGTTAATATCATTTGGTAGTGTTTGTTTAAATCATCTTTTCTGTGAGCTGCCTTTTGCTGACAATGCCGTCCTCGTCCCCCACACAGAAGTAGCTCTGCCACGTTTAACATCGTGCTTTGCAGAGGCTGCTGAGCTTTTTGGGCGGGAAGTCAGATTGAAGAAGGCAGAAGTTTTCTATCAGCCTGCACCTCAGGAAGTCTTTTATCATCCCTGTATCACCACTGGTGAATCAGAGCTCAAATCAGTCCAGCAGTTTAACTGTTTGGAAGCATCATCTCCTTGGATGGTAAAATTGACAAAGAGATAGACAACAGGTTAGCAAAGGCATATAGAGCTTTCGGTAAACTCCACAGAAGAGTTTGGTGTAGTAAGCACCTGAAGAAAAGTACAAAGATCAGCATTTGCAGAGCCATTGTTTTGTCTACCCTTTTACATGGGTCTGAATCGTGGGTCATTTACCGCCATCACTTGCAACTCTTAGAACGCTTCCATCAGCACTGCCTCCGTACAATTCTAAACATCCAATGGGACAGATTATGTGACCAGCACGTCTGTCCTTGAACAGGCAGCAGTCACGAGCATTGAGGCCATGCTGCTGAGAACACAGCTGCGCTGGGCAGGGCACGTCTCCAGGATGCAGGACCATCGCCTCCCTAAGATCGTGCTTTATGGGGAACTTGCCACTGGCTGCCGCAAGAGAGGAGGCCCGAAGAGGAGATACAAGGACTGCCTGAAACAATCCCTCAGCCTTGGTCATATTGATCACCACCATTGGTCTACTCTGGCCTCCAGTTGGGAGACATGAAGACACACTATTTATAACTCTGCTGCTTCTTTTGAGAACACGTGTAGAATCATTCTCGAGGAGAAAAGACAACGCAGAAGGAACCATGTCTTGCCAATATCGCCTAGGGAGACTTTTGGCTGTGCCCTCTGTGACCAGACTTGTCTATCTCACATTGGCCTTTTTAGCCGTCAGTGCGCTTGTAGCAAGTGTGGGTAGAGCCCTTCTCAAATCTTCGTTCGCTGAGCCTAGCCATGATGATGGAGTGATTGTAGGGCTTGTGTATTATTGTTTCTTGCTTTTTAATTAAGTATTGATATTGAGAGTGATTATGAGGTCTTTGAAGATCTTCTCTTGTACTTAGCAGCTTTTCTGGGAGTTTTGGGCTGTGTTATTACCTCTGGCTGTATCTGCTTTCTTGAGAACAAAATCTTTCTCTCGCAGTTCTGTGTTATCTATCTGGAAAGTATCTTGCTGATATTTTCTAGTAACAAAGTGCGGGTGTGTGCATTTAGAGACCACTGTTAGCTTGATTTATTCCTCCATTTAGTTTGCATGGGAGCGGCAGTGCTAAACAGAATGAATTCCTTCATATTTGTTGAAACACTGTAAATTAATGAGCTACTTGTGAAGAAAAACATTCTCTATACTGGAATTTCCTGACATTGTTTTAATACTTAATTATAATCTGGAATGTCTTTGCTTTCCAAGAAAACAAAACAAAAATTAAGGACTGTTTTTTAGTTATTATTTGCAATCATCACAAACCTCTAAAGGACTTGTATGCTCAGACTATTAATTCAACAGTACAGAATTTCATGCACTTAAAAAAAAAAAAATTACAGGAAGCATCCAGTTCAGGTTTCCAACAAAGAAGGTAAAAAATGTCTGCAAGGTGGTATAAGCATGGGAAAACTGAAACTAAATGAAATTCTTTATTTTAAGGTACGTTTCAGTTTCATTGTTTCAACTAATTAATCTATTGTGAAAGGATTTTACTTACTTTTAATAAATATACTGAAGAATTTAGAATTTAGACTGGAATAGTCTGTGCTTAACTTAATATGTACAGTTAAAGTAGAAAGGTGCTTAGAGAGGTAAAATAATTTCTTCTTTTTAAATGCTTGTCACATAGATATCTCACCTGGAACATGTTTGCAAGGAGAAAACTGATACTATGAGGGATCTTCAGCTGAGCCAAGAAGATGCTTTTCGAAATATGACTGAACAGTTGAAAGCACAGGAACACTGTTGGCAGAAAGAAAAAAGGCATCATGAACTGCAATACTCAAGTGCCCTTGCTGAAGCTCATGCAAGAGCAAAGGTATGGGCTGTGAACTTCTTTTTTTTTTTTCTTGTGAATACTTAATGGATTATTTCAATAGTTTAAGCCCCTTATCAAGTCAAGGTTGCTTGGGAATTTTAGTTTATCTTTGAAGTAAAAAGAAAAAAACAAAAAAAAAAACCTTGTGCTACTATTAATGTCACTTACAATAAGAAATAAATGACTTTTTAAAAACATTCTGAAAGGAAAATGGTCTACAGCCCTAATTCAGAAGCCTGATTTGGTTGACAGTTGCCAGTGATTTTTTTTTTTTTTTTTGAGGATGCTAAAGCTATGAGATTGAATTTGTTAATTTCAAGAATTACATAGGCTAGCAGTGACTTTTTCAGTGTCATGCTTTGTAAAGACTGTAGAGTAACTGTAATGTGATTCCTGGGGGTAAATGTAAGTTTGTACATCCTGATGCTAAGAACCAATTAGCAGCTGCAACGGTTTCGACAGTGTCAAAGGACTCTGTTTTACTGATACTACAGTGAGCAGTGGTTCAAAAGAATACCAGTGTCATCACTGATTGTTAGACAAGCTATTTGCATTCTGAAATATTTCCTGTTATTCTATATCCACTATTCAGAGTCTTTACAGTCACATTCTTTACACTTGTTTCAATTAAAAATTTTGTGGAATAGAGGATATAGATATGCCTTGTTATTTGTGACTTACTACAACTTTACTTCATCAAAAGAATGCTGTATTTGAAATAGATTTGGATGCTGAAAATCTTTGCATGCTGAAAAATGTATTTATGTGTGGAGGTCAATAAAACTAAGTTGATACCAGTGGAGGCAAGAAACTGGAATGGTTTATAACACTTACAAGTTCATATTTAAAGGTTTTAGGGTCTACATATTCAACAGGGCATTGAAACTATTACAATTTATTACAAACAGGGCATTTCAGGGGATGACATAAGGGAAAAGCAAAGTTAACAAATTTGGCACCTTAGCAATTACCTCATGGGGAAAAACCTACTTTATCTTAGGGGATTTTACAGGGGGGAACAGGTATTCAGCTCTACAGGATGCAGGGATTCAGGGAACACAAAGGGAGAGATAAAGTACAAATAGTCTTCTGCACAGTTTGATGAAATCAAGGTATGGACTTTCTGGGCCGGAGCAGGGCAATCAACACTGATGACATCTCATTTGTTTCTCAAACAGAGGTTTTTTCCCCAACTCTCATAGCCCACGGCTTTCTGCAAAGTCCACTCAAATCCCTCTCTGCAGATTTCATATTTAGGGATACAACATTTTTGGAGTATTTAGTCTGTCTAATTTCATGTTCCAGAGTCTTCCTTATTCTTCTCCTGTCGCTCACACTACCTTTCTTTCTGCTTTGTAGAGCAGTGTTCTTTCTGAAATTGGAGCATGTAATTTCCTATTGTTAAGTCAACTCATAAAACTGTATTGTGGGCAACCATGTGCTGTTGGACCTGCTCTAAGCTATCACATTGCTAGTGGATTGTTGTCAGAAATCAGTAGTCCATTTGTAGTTGAAGACTGGAAATTTTCCTTGCACTATTGATCTGGGTTCATATATCTGATTCTGTAACTGTTTTCTAGAAGAGATACTTCAATCATCATTACTAATAATTTTTCTTACTTTAAAGTGTTATTTGAATGTGAAAATATTATTTTCTTTTAGCTTTAGGTGAAAATGACACAGTTAACATTTTTTCTGGTTTTGTTTGTTTTGGTTTTTTTCTTCCCCTGTTATCCCAGGAATACCAAGAAGCAGCACAGCGAATCAGGGAAAGAATGTATGCACTTGAAAAAAACCAGGAGAAACTGGCCCATGAAAATGTTTCTCTGAGAAATTCATTAACAACTATTCAGAGGGAGCGTTCATCTCTCTTGGCAGCCTGTGCACTGTTGTCTGGTGCCCTGTGTCCCCTCTACAGCCAACTGTGTGCTCTGACTTCCCAAAAAGACCTTCTCCAGAACCAGGTCAACTCCTACGAATTACTGAACCAGAGGATTAGGACTATAGTTCATAGTTTCCGCGCTGAAGAGGAAAACAATCGAGATGAAGCCAGAGGAAGACAAAGGAGAGCCAAAGGCCTGGTTTATGTATTCCGAAGAGCTGTGATTGTAGTTTTGGCAGCCAACAGATTCAGAGCTGCAGCTCAGTGTTCTACTTCCCTCTTCACCTGGACAAATGGCTTACAAGGAGGCAATGGGATTCAAGTTTGTGTGGGAGAATCCGAAGGCAGACGTAATGTGTCACATAATATAATTGTTTTCTTCTTTTGATAAGTGTTCTGTTAAATTACATGGCTAGCAAATAAGAAAGAGCAATATTATTATTACTGGAGTGTAAAGATGTATTTAATGGCTCTTTGACCAATATAACTTCTGGATTTATGATTTTTAGATTTCTTGACAGATGTAATTTCCCCTAGAAGTAAATACCTAGTCTGTTGAGCATTGCAAGTAAAGGTGGAACTATACACATGAACTTACACTTTTTGATATCCTCGATATTTGAGCTATGGATTTCAAAATTAGGTGCTACTACATCTTCACTGTGGTAAATATCTTGTAATGCTCCTAAGTCATTAACCATCAACATGTTTTTTTGAAAGGTATTTCCTCTTCTTATAATAATAATTTCTAAATATTTTTTCCTACTAAAAAAAATATACAAAAAGTTGCTTTCTGATGCAGGTATAATATTAGTGTGAGATATCTAAATTTTCTTTGGAGATTATGTAGTCTACTTGTCCCTTTCTTTTACCAGACCAGATTATGCTTCCCCTCACAAGGGTAAGTGGTATCAAAAATGACTGGCAAACTAGAGATTCATCTACTTTTCTGTTTTAGTAGTTTTGAAAGCATGCTTAATACAGTCTAAATTTGGTCAGTTTCTGAAAGAGCTGGATATAGTAGTGAGCCATATCTAAGTGATCCAGTTATACTGATAGTTGCAATTCTGTTTCGCAGATTATAGAGATGGAGCTGACTGCCTTGAAGCACTTGACTGGGTAACTAGCTCTAACCTCCATTCTGCAATAATCAGTTCCTTCTCTGAATTGCAGGATGTTCTTAGCAAACCAGGTATTTTTAAAAGCATATTCTTGTAATAGAAATATTAAAAAAAAAAAACCCAAACAAAAAAAACCAAACCGAAACAAAAAAACCCCAAACACACACACACACACACACACACACACGAAAAAAGACCAAAACCAAAAACAACAACAACAACAACAAAAACAAACCAAAAAACCAAACCACAACAAAACCACAAAACAACCCCCGGGGGATTACATAATTTCCAGCTTCAGGATTTTAGATAAAGTATTCTGGATTATATAACTGAAGAGCTGTATTGCTAGAATAGATTAACTTTATTTCATTGGTGGTATTTTGTTCAGTATACAGAGTCACGAAGGCAGAATGTTGGAGAGTGCTTCTAGAGTTTATTTGCAGTGAGAACTGATATAAGCTCCCTTGGTTCATCTGCACTGTTGCCATCCCTGGTTCTTTGTTAATTTGCAGTTTTAAAGCCCCAACATTTCTGCCACAGAGTTAAGGATATTGAAGGAGGGATAATGTATGTGAATAAAGGGAAGTAGCAGGACAGATAAGGTGACACATTTCCCAGAGGGCTAAAGAGTAATCTGGTACCAGAGACTGCCACTGAATCTAGTGTGTTTTGATTCAGTTGCAGATATTTTCTTCTTTGATCATGCTACTTTCAGCAATTTGAATTTATGTCCTTAGAAAGCAAAATTTGAACTGTTTCAGATTCAGCATTCTGTGTTTCAGAGTATTTACAGGGTTCACACTGTGTATAATTGAAAAGGAATCACATATTACAACCTAACTGATGTTTATTTTTTGTTGTTGTTTCTTAAAGATCCAAGCTCTTGGCTTTCTGGAAACTCGCTTATAAATGCAGTCAGGAACTGCTTCTCAAAACTTATGGACAAGCTGAGCTTAATGCTGGGGATGGTTCCACTAAACTCTCCAAGGTGCATCACTTACCTGGAGAAGGACTCCTTGATACAGAGGCTGGCTTGTGGACTTCTCAGAATAAATACCCAGGCTCTGGAAGCTGGATTACATGACAGACTGCCCAGTATGGTAAGCCTATTTATAGTGCTACTTCATGGAAGCAGAAGGGTCACAGCGTAAGTGTTACAGTGAGTCTCTCTTGATAGTACCATTAATTGTGTTTCAGATTGTTTGAATCCATTGCAATGAAGCCAACAATATGGACAATCAGAAGTTGATTTGTAACACTCAAAAGTGTTAGGGCATGAATAGATCTTTTACTTGAAAGGATTTTTAGAAGAGGTTTAGTGCATGCAAATAAAAGATTTTTTTCAAGTTCCACTAGAATTTTATTTGCTTATAAGAACAAACTTGCTTTTGGTTTTAACTGTCAAGATTCTTTTTTTAAAAATTATTTCCTATTTTCTCATGTTTACCATGAGAAGGTAACCTTCTTCCCTTTAACCAAAATGGAAGGATAAAGTCTCTCATATTCTTTTCTTATGGGCCCTATGTGAACACAGTACTTCCTTGTAAACAGGATTTTCAGTAACCCTCAGTTGGTGAAACAGGTTCACATGTTTGCACTTGTGTCTTCCAGAGGCAGAAGACAAAAACACTTTGTGTTTATTTTCTTGAGTGTAAGCTGTGATTTATTTTATTGCTGAAATAGCATATTTTACAGCACATCAATTTGTTTCTGTTGCCAACAGAGAAACATAGCATCCTTGCACCAGGTGCTGTTTGAATACACACGAAGACTTCATATGGCAGAGGCAGAGTGCCGCTCACTGGGCCTGCAACTTGCAGAATTCCAGTGGACTTTCAATGATATGAAAAAGGATGCTGAAAAAGCCAGGAACCTACAAGATCAATTAAATACATTACAGCATGTAAGCGTATTTGATGTCAAGATTATCTTAATCATCAGAGAACTTCCCTTTCACACATTTTTTTCCTTTGCCTTCCTTTGAAAAACAAGTATAAAATCTAATCCTGACAGAATTTTCCAGAAACTTACCTTGTAAGTGTCACTAAACTAGAAGTCAGATGTATTTAGACATATCTCCTTTCCACTGGAGTTTCTTTTTGATTTGTAGAAGGAGATATTCTGTGCAAATTACGTGTTTGGTCTTCAGCAACCCAGGTTTTCTTCCATTTGTTGAAAATGTTGATGTGATTTATATAACCTAAAAGAATTTATAGATTTCACTTATACAGAGTAAAGTCAGTTGGAATGAGGGTCCTCAATAAGTGCGTTTATGAGACGTTCATAAAGCATAAATACAGCCATTTAAACTCTGCATGGATATTGCTGACTGTTATAATAGACATTTAACTGTGTCTTTGACCATGTTATACCCTAAGATAGTTCACAAAAATTTTAGTGGGGCTATTTCCTTGAGGGATAAGTTTATGGCAGGGGAAAAAAACCCCTCTTCTACCTTCTCAGTGCACATATGCACACCAAATTCCCCTGACTCTTAGTTGTCATTAGTCACTTTACTTAAATGGGTTCACTAACCTGCAAAGACCACTGTCTGACAGGAATGAGAAGAGACAACCAGAAAGGTTATTTAACTACTCGAAGCCACCAGATAGTGAGTAATGGATGAAGTACTTGCAGGACTGATGCCATTTGATGAGCTGTTGCTTTGATTCCTGTCATACATACAGAACTGTGCCTTCAGTCCTTCTTGGAAGGGAGGAAACCTGTCTTGCTTTAGCATGCTGGAGGTTCCCTAAGCACCTTTCCTCCTATGCTTCTTTTCTAGAGGCCAAATTCAGAACTGAGCTCACATTTGAGCCTTCTGAGAAAGTGAATGAGTATGGTTCCTTAGTCATGGTCTACAGGGGCACAGTGTAACTGAAACAGTTGTGTCCCTGAATAAGCAGTGTTATCCACGGCTGTGCCCTGTGGTAGATTTTTCAGTGAGTCCCAACCTAAACACTTCCAAGCAGAGAATGTTTACTAGATGATGTTGCACCCATTCTCCTTCCTGTTCCTAGCTAAGAAAATGAATTTTTTTTTCTCACATGAAGAAGGTTATATGTGATCATCGTCAGTTTTGTTCTTAATGAGTTTTATTACTGTGTAATTCTGGGATAGTTAGGTGAAATTGTCTCAGATTGTCAATTCAAATTTAGATTGTCATTCAAATGCAGATGATTTTACTTAAAGAACTATTCCTTTTTTCTGGAACAGAAAAAGTCCAAGGAAGTGTTCACAGGGGTTAACAAGATATGCACTAAAATGTTGGACATTGATCTGTATATATTTCCTTCTAAATATTGATGTCTTGCAAGCTAGAGTGCTATTTTGGATAGAATAATGAATGCCTAGTTTTTACAGTACCCTGCATGTTCTTTAGAAAAAATACAGTTAATAAACTAGTTTGTGCTTTTATTGTTCAGTAACCTGTCTTCATGTTAAAAAAACCTCACTATTAATCTTTCGTATGTATTTCTTTTAGGATTTGATAAGTTTGCAAGTGGAACTCAGAAATTCGGGCACTTAAACCAGTGAATATAGTTACACAACCAAATACAATTTATTTCTCTTTTCAGAGAATGATCACCCAAGACAATATACATAAAGAATTAAATAATGCTTTACAGCGTGAGCACGAGGCAAGAATGCTCTTGTTTGAACAGGAGCAACAGATAACTCTGTTAAATGATAGACTACAAAAGCTCTCCAGAGAAACAGCAGATAGAGGCCGAGACCTAAATCTATCCGTAAGGGTAAGATTATTCTTTTGAAATAGTCACCAGAAATTTACCTGTTGTTAACATTGCATGTCTTGTGCAAATAAAGTTACCGGAGAAAATGCGGACTTATTACTCAAGCAGTCAGAATTTTTTGGTATTCAGAAAAGATTTTAAACTTCTTTTTTGTTTTGTTTTGTTTTGTGTGTTTGTTTTTTTTTTTTTTGTTTGTTTGTTTGTTTTCCCCCCTTTGAGCTCTAGGTGTTGTTGTTTTTAAAACTGAAGAAAAAGACTCAATAAACTTTTTTTCTCTCTCACAGTTTGCCAAAACCCAGCTTTATATGTGCCTTTATTAATGACAGGCAGAAAGGGTCTCTGCGTGTGCCCTGGCATTCCAATTGACAGTGCCTTTTCTCTTAGCTAATTGGGTTTTGTGGCTCAGAATGCTGGTTTAGTTAGTTTGTTTGGGGGTAGGGTGTCTTTTTTAGTTTGTTTGAGGGCTTTTTTTTTTTTTTTTTTTTTTTTTTTTTTTTTTTTTTTTTTTTTTTTTTTTTTTTTTTTTTTTTTTTTTTTTTTTTTTTTTTTTTTTTTTTTTTTTTTTTTTTTTTTTTTTTTTTTTTTTTTTTTTTTTTTTTTTTTTTTTTTTTTTTTTTTTTTTTTTTTTTTTTTTTTTTTTTTTTTTTTTT